AATGATATTCCCCTCATAAAATGTTGGGAAATGGGTTTGTCAGTGTTGCCATTAATTACATGACAATGATATTCCCCTCATAAAATGTTGGGAAATTAGTTTGTCAGTGTTACCATTAATTACATGATAATGATATTCCCCTCATAAAATGTTGGGAAATGGTTTGTCAGTGTTGCCATTAATTACATGACAATGATATTCCCCTCATAAAATGTTGGGAAATGGGTTTGGCAGTGTTGCCATTAATTACATGATAATGATATTCCCCTCATTCACTGACTGTGCATCCAGTCTCGCCAATGTATAGAATTTGACACGTCACATATTATTCAGTATTAACTGACTGATACACAAGTGAAAGGTCAATTAATATAATGTTGACCCTTAGGCCCAATGATCAGAATACAGCTGTCAATGCAACAACAAGTTACACACTAAGAATGGCCACATGGAGAACATCCAATATTAGTGTCGTCTTTGTCATCAGAAAATAAGTTCGGAATAATTTTCTAATTTATAATCATTCTGTAAAATATAAAAAGTGTCAAATACGATTTTATTAAGCTATTCAGAAACTGGGGGATAATAGGGTATCATAAGAGACCCACTTAGTTATTCAGCACAATAGTAAAGGTCCACATATACAGTTGATAACGTATTAGTTTAAGGCAGTCACAGATAGTTGTCTTGGTTGAGAATTACTAGACTAGAAGGAAGACATCCAGTCAACAAAATCTATCAACAACTATCAGACTTCACTAATTGAATAGTGAAAGTTCACCAACACTCTGCTTGAGGTCAAACTCTGTGGATAGTGATCAGCATAATTTAGGGATATTTTCAGTGCCATTCAAATATTAAAATATATGATCTACATGTATTTCTGAAATAACATTTCAAGTCATTATTTTTCAGTGTCATTTATTTAATATAAAATTTCATTGATATAAATATTAAAAAAAATTTGATCATATCAAATTATTTGAACAAATTTTTCCTTTAAGAATGAATACAGAGATAATATAAGAGCCTAAACATGAGCATTTACAATGATATTTTCAAAACTGTCCCAGAATAGGTTTATATTTTCTTATCGAAAATATAAAGAAAATTAATTAAAAAGTCTTATCCTAATGCCACCATTTACTGTCATTAAATATATAAATTCATGTTGATAACATTTAAAACAACATGATGCATAAAAGGCAAGACTAGACTATCAATTCCAAAATATTTTACAAAGCTGTTTATAAAATCCAAATTAAGTATTGATGTAAATAAAAGAAAAATGTTAGGAGACATACCAACATAAAGGCAGCCATAGAAGGCACAGATAAGGTCGATACCTGGAGGGTAGATAAGAGCCACATGGTCACCTGTGTTGAGCTTTCCTTTCTCTAACAACATACAACCAACTCTTTCTGATCTCTTCTGTAGTTGTGAGCACGTAAGAGATGTTGCTATGCTTCCCTATCAGGGAATGAACAATGAGTAAGATGCATAAAGATAATATAATGTTAGTAATTTTTTAATGGAAATAAATCACTATAATATCGTCATTGCTGGAAAAAAGCAAACTTTTGTTAGCCTTCAATCTAATCAAATAGAAAATCAGACCCCTCTTGTCACATCCTCTCTTTCGGGATTTGTCAATACATGTAGTTCTCTCTTACGTTTATGACCATATTAGTTATAACCAATAGACAGGCAAGGTTTTTGCCTGTCATATGACGTATTATATTACGTTGTTTTCTGTACAAAGATTTGTAGATCGCTTCCTAAGAAAATGTTTTTTTCTCACACAAATGATATTGTGTAGATAGATGACATGACGTTTTAATGGTTCATTACTTCATTAGAAATGCCAGGAAAATTGTGATAGTTGCGAAACATTATCTGCTTTTTGCATGTTATTATTCTATGTTCTTTGTTGAATTATTTTATTAAATAAAAATTATATAGTGCACTACTACATTAGTATGAAAAAGTAGTGTTCAGAGAGAAGACCCTGTCCCGAAAAAAACACCTTGTGCACATGATCTCGATCAGTATTATGTTCCAGATTAGAAGTAACAAACATGTAAACCTTCTATAGATATGAAATATATAATATGGGAGAATGATATATGTGATATTTATGTGCCACAATATATGTGTAAAATAGTTCACTACAGTTACTATTAAAGACCATAAAACTGAAATTACACGAAAAAAGCATACGTACATTTCTTTACTGGGCTATCTACTGATGCACGAGATAGATAAAAGCCAATTAATATAAAAATATTTATTAGTTACAGACAAATAATCATCTCTCAAATGCTAACAGTACATCTGATCTAACTCTAAAAACAACCATTAATGATTTTAATTTTTGTGATAAAATCTTTGCAGATAATACACCAGATTCTGTCTATCAAATGCACACTTTTTAGAATGCAATAAAAACTGATACACAGAATTTTCATTAATTTTTGAGTTACTTTTGCATAACTGCTAGGAAGGAAGGAAGCATACCGAACAGAAATATCAGCAAAGAAATTCTACAAAGAGCGACTCAAAACTAAGGTTCCACTTTTAAAAGCATTACACTTTAACTTTTTTTAGTTGTAAATGTTCAATGATCAGTAGAATCTTTAAAAATTCAAAGGTGAATCACTTGGTATTACATGCTTAATGCGATTATACTGTACTTCAGTAACCCATAAAATCACACTTTGATCTGCAAATTAATTTATGATATACTGAATGATGCTCATCTACTATATAAAGACAAAAAGCCATCCGTCTGTCACGCTGATATCTCGCCCATTGAGGTACCCATCGGCATGCAACTTGCACGAAACGATGGCACTTTCTGCCGTGACAAGCAAGTTTGTCTTTATAAAATTCTTTCAGCCATATATACACATAAAACAAACAATGCACTACTTTGGACATATAATTAGATTTGAGGGTAGGTTGGTAGAGACCATGATGAGTAATAAAATCAAATTGGGTATAACCGTGCCCCCACACTTGGTATTGCTGATGCACAAGAATCATAATCATTGGCTGAAGTTCTTCATTATGTTTACTTGGTTGTCAAGGAGACACGTTGACACAGCATCACAATTAATAACTTTCAGGGTCATACTGCTGACCAAGTAGGAATATGTCTTTGAGAATCAGTTTTTTTTTTGCATGTTTCAATCTATAAGGATTTAGCAAGAAGAACATGCTAGTCAAGCAATACTTAAAGGAGATGATCAAATATACATAAAAAAAAATTGTTTTCATGAAATACTAAAAATAGGACAGTCATTTTCCATACATACATATACTGTTACTAGGTTATAATTAATTTTTAGAAAACATGATCATAAAACATTTATTTAAGTATAATTTTGAGAACAAAAATTAATCAGAAGGCAACATTACAGTTGGTTCAATAACATATTACATGCC